TGACTGTTGCCCTCCTAGCTGGCTATTCTGAACTGTAGTTGTCTGTGTAGACATGGATGGTGCAGCACTACTATTCATACTGCCAAAGGGTGGAAATGAAGTTAGTTTATTTGATGATACTCCACTATTCAAGTTGGAAGATGACGAAGATGAAGTTGAAGCTGTGGTCAAAGTTGAGTTAGCTGTGGCAACTGAAGAAGACATGGCACCACTTGAAGTCAATGTCACAGTGTTGCTTGCTGCAGATGCAAGGGTGGTGGATGGAGTGTTAGCATTTCCAGTATTTGTCATCTGAGGTGAAGTAATCGAAGACTGACTTGTAGGGACAACTAAATTTGACTGGGAAAGCAGCGTGCTATCCAATGGCTGAGAAGCAAGATAAGGACCTAGGTCATATCTGCAGACTTGTGCATAAAGCTTGAGTTTAGAAAATGCTTCATTGTTACAATCAGCTGCCTGAGAAAACCATTCTGTTACCAAATGTTCTGACAGTTTCTTTGATGCTGTAGATCCAACTTTCATGATGCCATCTGTCAACAGTCGTGAAATAGGTCTATGTTGTCCTAATCGACAGGACTCATAAATTGCAGTAAGATCTCTGAAAAAGCTTTTGGCTCCATTTAACAAGGCTTCATTTTCAGGACACAGTTCAACATAGGCTATATCTCTTTGATATCCATAGGGTTCCAGCATAAGTCTCTCCCAATAAGGAAGAGCAAATGGAGAAAGCACCAGAAACTCATAATCATAACCCAACAGAAATGTGGGGATTGGCAGTGGTTCTGGGGATTCATCAGTTCCATAAGAGCCTCGACCAGCCATTTTATGAAACTGTTGCCAAGTGAGAGGACCTTGAACCCCCCAAGGCCTTACTGTTCTTTTTTTCTGAATAGCATCCTGAAGAACTGGTTGAAGAGAAAGGAGCATTCGAAGTATATCCTGTGAACATGGCATACTCACATCTATAACATTTCTTTTGGACCAGAGATACAAACATGAACTTTTCACAAGTGCTTCATCAACTTTTCCTCCTGACATATTATCCATGAACTGACGCCCATGTTCTAACGCAAGGTAGCAATCATTGCAACAGTCCCGTTCTTCAACTCGTACCCAATTGTTAATCACACCAATTTTTGGAAAAAGATCTTGGTCTGCTGCTCCAAAGGGTGAAAATAAATTAGTGCACTGATCTTGTAGCAACAGTATTAATTCATCAGGCAATTTTTCAGATTCCTTAAGTCCTCCATTAACATGTTCAGCCGAGGTAGCCCTGAGAGTTTCAAAATGTTTTTCTGCTTCTTTACCACATTCTGTGTTGTGTCCTATGATATCTAGTTCATCTTCAAGAAATAATCCTGAATTGTTTCCAAATTTTCTGTTCATGACAGCACTGAATCCACAGGTACACCTATACTGGGCTTCCTGTGTCGGATCTGGAATGTAAACTCCAACATCGGCACCCTTGATATTCATATTGCAGACACAGATACAGCAACTATCAAAGTTACAGTCTTTAAACAAATTCATAACTGATTCTGAAAGAATGAGGTTTACATAAAGACTGTGTGCTTCAGGGATGGAAGGAACAGTTGCAGGTTCAACAGAATTAAGGGGTCTGCATGTGGATGGAGTAGAAGCTGGTGAATACAAGTCTGAATTTTCATATTTGACTGAACCTTGAGCACTAGAAGGTCCACCAGCTCCACAAGGAGTCCGAGGAGTCCTTGGAGTCCTTGGAGTTGAAAACCTAGGAGTGGATGGAGAAGGAAGAATTCCAGTTCCACTGTTACTAGGAGGTGCACTGCTAGGAGGCTCTTAAGTGATTAAAAGAAGTTTTGCATTGGGAAAATCTGCTGTGAAGGATCTCTCAAAAATACCAAAGAGCAGTAATTTCAGTTTCAAGACTAATGTGCACCTAATCCAAGCCATAGTATTTTCATTTTTTTCCTAGGTGGCTGAAAGCTTGCATGAATAGGATGACAGAGGATGAATATATGCCTTTGAAACATGGTATTAGGGAAGACTTTCTATCTCATGGCCTGCCAAAAGTGCAAACAAGTCTGCATTGAAGGAGGGGTAACGAGGGTACTCCTCCAGACAAAGATAGTAAAACTCTATCTCATACACTTTGGACATCTTGTCAGGAGGTACCAGAACTTAATAAGTATAAGGATCCAAGGTGAATGGGGGAAATACAGGAGTGAGGATGAGGCGGCAGCATGTTAATCATAGGGTTGCAAAATTTGATGGATGAGTGGGGTGAAGGAAATAGGAAGGATCTTTTTGTGGAAAACAATATATTTAAACTCTGTAAATAAATAAGAATACTATAAAAAATTATAAAAAGCCATCATACTTAGCAAGGTGGAGGATAGGAAGACCCTCAAGGAGATGGACTGACATGTTGACTATAACCGTGTGCTCAAGCATACTGGAGATTGTCATGATGGCTCAAGATAGGATAAGATTCTTATCTGTTTTTCATAGGGTAATTATTAGTCATAGCTTAGTCACTGACATTAACAATAATCAGCGTGTGATCAATAATGATATACTAAAGAAGAACAAGATGTAGAAAATGTATTAATGAAAAAGAGACTTCAGGGATTGAGGGAATACCAATTGTGATGTTTTAACAAATAGCTGGAACACTAAAGTCCAGATGTATGCATATCTAGAAATAAGTAGGACTGCTGCATGTCCAGCAGACTTAGATATTTTATGCTTACAGAACATGACCCAACATCACAAAGAATATATTAAAAAATACCACTACTGTTACACAGAAGGGAGCCTAGTTATCTAATGGTAAGAAGCTGTGCTGCAATCTTAAAGGCACACAGAATACACCAACTACTCTGAGGGAGAAAGATGGACAATAAACTTTCTCTGGAAATCTGCTTGAAGGTCAGCTATTTTGACTTGACAGTACTCAAAAAACAACAACAATAATCATGCACGAGTAAATTTTTGTTGAAGATAATTGATAAATGGGGGTTGTAATGCTTAGGGGAAAACTGTTAGAAACTTAAGCCACATTCAGAAAGGAATATTGAGGTATGGACAACATTTTGATGTCAGGTAGACTTGACTGAAAGCGAAGAATCCTCAAAAGATGTTTACTTTTGTTTTATTGACTAAACAAATGAATTTGACTGAGTGGAGTATAAAATATTTTGCAGTATTATGAAAAATGACACAAAGAGCAAGTATGCTTACTCAGAATATGTGCATAATAGATCAATAAAACAAAACCAAAGATGATAGGAATATTGAGTCTTTAAAATCAAGCTTCAAATATATCTGTTGTAGCCTTTCACCATTCACACTCAATCTCTGTGCAGAGAAAATTGTCTCAGAAATTGGAGCACATGAAGAAGAATGCAGAGACAAGATTGGATAAAGATTTATTAAGACCTTTTAATATGCAAGTGATACAAATGAAAACAAAGAACCTTTTATAAAAGATAACTAAAACCAAAGAACTTGAAGACATATTGAAGAAGAGAAAATATTACAGTCTTCAATATACCTTATGCTTTAGCATAAAGAAAAGTCCCCACAGTTGGACCAAATATCATTATGATAAAATAAGAAAAAAATAGAAGTTGCCAGAGATTTCATTTTACTTGAATCAACAATAAATGGTCATGGAAGCAGGAATGAAGTTATTAATAGACGTATTGCTTTGGACAAATCTGCTCTAAAAGACTTCTTTAAAAGGTTGGGCAGAAAAATGTCATTTAACAGGGTCAGGTCTTCTTGAACTTAGTTGTGTTTAAATATGTCATTTGTACATCAAAGTTGGGAAAAGATAAATATGACTGGAGAAGAGTTGATGCCTTTGAATTATGATGTTGGAAGCAGGAGTGGCATCCATTTCCAAAACAACATGCCTCTGGAAACTCAGGTTTTTTGTTCATAGAGTCACTATGAGTCATGCTCAACTCAATGAAAACTGACAACAACAACTATGAAGAATATTAAGCTAACTAAAGGATACTGGAAGAACAAATAAATCTGTCTCATAAGTACAAAAAGAATTCTTTTTAGAAGTGAGAATATCGTTAGTAGGAACTAGTTCCTAGAGTGGGATACTATGCTTAGGAAAGCAGATAATCAGTTAAAAACAGAAAGATCCTCAGTTACCTGGATACTACAATTTACTAAAATGTTGCAACCATTGTTAGAATGGTACAGTTTCGTTCTGTTGTAAATAGGTAGCCAAGAATTAGAATTATAAGAAATTTAGCAACTGTAATGCCACCATTGAATATACCCTTCATCTCTCTCTAATAAAAAATATTGAAATTAAGAAAATACAACAAAAATTATCTTCTAAAATATGTCTTTCAGAGCCATAGCTTTGAAATATGAGCAGGCTTCTCTGAAAGCTTTGTCTATTTTAACTTCCTCTAAAGTGTGATTGTTCAGAAGACATTTGGAGGCTTGCCATTTGAAAGAGGAAAGGTGACAAGCTCATAAATTATTCTTAATTATCAAAATGAGAATGTATAAAGTGACTTTCACACTCCTGAGTATAAAACACATCAATAATTACCATTAAACATCCTGTTACAGCTATAATTCACTCACTTGATTTTACAGAGTTCTCAAAGTGTCCAATTTCCTTGGTCTACCTGTTTCCTTTCCTTGTTATTCATTCTTATTATTCCTCTTACATTGGCCTTTCAATTGGCACAATTCCATACTTCCCATTATGCTTACAAATAATCTCATTAAGAGCTCAGCTCACCAAAGAGCACAGCTCACCGAAGAGCACTTGTTACATCAAGAATAGAACTGACATTAAACTCACTTCCCAATGGGTATTATTCAAGTGGTTTAGTAGAAATATACGTTCACTTCTGGTGCACCTCTATGGTTAAGTATTTAGCCACATTATGGAAATAAATTATTATTCTCCTAAGTTAGAAAACAGTTTATTACAGGATGAGTGAGTGAAAAGACCAGTCCTCAGTGAAATGGCCATTGACTGAAATATCAAGTACCACTTAAAACATAGTGCTAACAGTTTATAATCCAATAGAAACAGTGTTTCAAGATTGTATGTTGATTGCCTAAAAGTATTTATAAAATTTTAAAGTAAAAAAGCTATGTAATATCTGAGGTTGTAGAGAACACAAAGATCTAGTTTGCAGCATGTTGTTGTTGTTTTGTTATTAAGTGCCGTCGAGTCGAGGGCGACTCATAGCAACACTATGAACACAAGACCTGAACCCTGTTCTGTAACTATCACTGGTTTTCTTTGTTCATAGAGTTTCCAGAGGCATATGGCTTAGGAAGTGGATGCCACTCCTGCTTTTAAAGCTGAATTAATCTGGAAGCTCCATCAAACACTACCTATGATGGGTAACTATTATGTTGTTTAAAAAATCTATGGCAAGGTCTTCAGCATCACAGCAACTCCAAGTTACTCCAGTACAGCAAAGATATCGACCACTGCTGTACCACTTAAAAAAGAATGTTCATCCCAAAATTAACTAAAATTTGGCCTGAGAGCATAGAAAGGAAAGAAAAACAGAAACTACAACATGAATGAATTTCCATTTCTTGTAAGTCATAATTTTATTTGCTATTTCATTAGTATGCGTTTCCCCCTTGCAGTTTTCATTATCAATGGAAACTTTATATGCTCCCAAAATAATATTTTTAATTTTAATTTAAATGCATCCACCAAACATATTACTTTGAGCAACAACTAATTATAAAAAAAGACTGCTAGGAAGATAAACAAGTTTCTCATAGAGAGGGTGAGACCAGAGTATTCCTGGATGCAAGGATTCTGAAGCTCCGTTTAACATACTGTGGGCATGTTACAAGGAGGGATCAGTTCTTATAGAAGAAAGTCATGCTTGGAATAGCGGAGGGACAGTGCAAGAATGCAAGACCCTCGATGAAATGGGGTTATGGCAGTAGGTGTCTCAGAGAGAGTGAGGTTGGCTCAGGATAGAGCTGTTGTACATAGGGTAGTTATAGTCACAGGTGACTTGATGGCACATAGAAACAACAAGGACACTCACACCCCCTCACTCAGCTTCTTCCTGCCATGAGAATCAGAGCTTCTTGCTTGGTAAGATAAAAGGCTGGCATGATGCTTACAGGTACTTCTGAACAGATGGTGTAGTGAAATAAGAGTGGCAGGAACAATGAGGAAAATAGTAAGGATTTTTGACAGAATTGTTTGAGAAAGTCAAGTGTGTAGTTGTTGACCTGGCATTAAATGAATAATCATAGGGTTAATACCAGCATAAAATTGAATGCACAGCTATGAAGAATATAATTTTGTTTTCCTTCATACTATATTTGGAAGTAAAATTACCTACAAATAAACTTGCTATCAGATATGCTTGCTGCCTATTACTGAATTCAGTTTCCATTCTGAAAAGCAGAGATTATCTATCTATTCAGTAAGCTTGTACTTTCAAATATATGTAACCCTGAGATGTTAAAGGTTTAATGTTTCCCAAACCATTGACTGACTCTGTCATATGGATGGGTGAATAGGGCATGTTAGGCTATACATAAGGGCATTGGCTAGTCTCTCCATTAAACTGAGCCGATCCATCAGCAGAATGGGAGAACCTCACTACTAGTAAAGAATAATCAAGAGAATGCAACATGTCCTTGTCGGCCAGTCATTCCTGTGCCTCTTAGACAAAGGCTTACTGGAGCAGCAGTCATAGCAACTTCAGCAGAAAACCAGACATTATGCAAGATGGAGTGGATCTTAGGACTGGTACTTCACGGAATCAGAACTGGGACACTTTGTCCAAGTGTGTTGGACAATGGG